TTCTCTGCGGTGAATCATGTTATGAAGGAAAATTCTTCCTGCTCCCCAGAGGCTTAACGTTTTTTGAGACAGGAATAAATAGGGCCTCTTGTTTTTTTTTTTTTCAACCTGTTACTGCAACAACCCTCCACCCAAAAAAGCAATCATGAAACTGACAGAGTTATTCAGTATTTACTGAACAGCTCAGTTCTGAGGGGATTAAGGAATGCTGACACATAGCAAACAGAAACTCAAACCCGCTGGTTAAAATCCAGGACAAGAATCCTAAAAGCTCTCTTTTATCCCCACTCAAGTCTTTAAGTCATTGTAAGTGATGCAATTTTATGTGCAAAGATAAAAAAGAAACAATAAATTAATAGTTTTGTTATCTGTGGCCAGGAAGGAGTTCAGTGGATGCTTTGATCTGTAAAGCGATGGCAGGCCTGTTTGAGTTAGGATCACTTTTGTCATTTAATGAACTAATTGCTCTGACAGTAACAATCCCACCATTGTCCTTTTTTTTCTTAATTTTTGAGGATTTTTCTAGGATTGGATCATAGTGAGGGAAGTATATTCTTCTTTGAAAAGAGTTGGGATGAGGACAACTACTGAATTTATCTAACATTACCAAATCCCAAACAAATAAATACAGAAAGAAAGAAAAAGATGAAAATGTATTGATTTAATAGGAAACAGAACAGCAATATGATTGGGTCTACAAACAGCTTCCAGAGAAGTGCAGGGCTCAGGGGTAAACATGTGGGCTGGTTGGGGGCGGGTGGGACTGGTTCAGCACAGAAACTCTGTGTGCAAATCTTCAGAAAGCATTGCTCAAGTCAATATAAAACTTTGCTGAATTTGGGGATTGGAGTCATTTACGGTCCAGAGATTTATTAAAATAGACTGAGGTTGTGCAGACACGTGTTCCATGAAGCAGCAGGACGGAAAAGCCAGTAAAATGCAAACATGATGCAGAAATAAATTTCTTTTTTTTCCCCACTTTCAACATCTGATATGACTTTGTGTTTTGGCAGGTTGTACCTGAATGCTGATTCTACACAAACAGTAACATTGTATTCACGGACATTTCAAGTTCATCAAAGTTTTGGAGCACAAAGTGTTATTTAACTGACATACAGCACAATGATCAGTCTGTGTTTACCTCTATATGTTATATTTCTAGCTTGAAAGCCACTTTTATTTGTACCTTCAATGAGCACGAACCAAAGTTTTCCTTAAATCAGTGTTTCCCAACCCTGGTCCTCAAGGCACACTGCCCTGTATGGTTTCAGTATTTCCTTGCATCAGTCCAGCTGATTTCAATCAATGACTGATTAACAGGCGTTTGCTGAACTGCAATCAGTTGAATTTGGGCACTTTAAAGCAGGGAAACCTCTAAGACATGTAGGACAGTGGGCCTTGAGGACCAGGGTTGGGAAACACTGCCTTAAATAAGCCCGTTTCTTAAGGTTGCTGTAATAAACTGAACCTGACACTGTTGTCTAGGGTCGAGCAGGAAGGTATTTATTATATCTAAATCAGTCTGTATGACTGGACTTAATTAAAATGTTTCTATTGTGAAGGGCCTGGCGGTGACTCCTGCTCTGAACTGAAAAGAAAACATTACAATGTTTGGTTGGTAGTTTGGTTTGATATTTTTTCCACTCTACCAAAGCTTGAATCCAAACAAAGTAAGTTGTCTGTATACTGTTTACAACCTAGTGACTGCTAACTTCCTAATTTGAGATGCTAGAGAAAGTTCAGGAATGACTCCAGTTTCCTTCAGTAAAACAGCACTCCATTCTCGTTGCTGCATACTGCTGGTCAGCAGTCTGAAACATTGCTCTCCAATAACAGAAAGTCAAATTCAGGTATTTATAAACATATCTGCCAGAGTTACAAATAACTCAGAGAGTCATGATGTGGTAATTACAGGAGTGCCACCTATCACGCTTTTGAAGGAAACTACAGTAATAACCAGCTGATATTATTATGTTACTAGAACCACAAAGTACATTTTAAAAGATCATAGAGCACCAAAATGATAAATAATTTTCAAATGTTTTTTATAAATAAAGATCTCAAAAGCATGTTGAGCAGTTTTATTCAGCCCCCCGAATTATTGCTTTGCAAAACCACCTTTTAGGCTACTTCTATAGCAACTCAGCACATCTAGAGACTGAAATCTAGATTTAGGCCATTCTAATAGATAAAAATATATTATGAACCATTTTACTGCAGCTTTGGATGTTCGCTTGGGGTTCTTATCTTGCTGGACGGTGGATCTTAGCCCCAGTCTCAAATCTTTGCAGCCTTTAGCAGATTGTCTCTCACTGTGCATTTGTCCATTTGTGATCCTGAATTGCATAGAATTGACTATTAAGACAGTTGGTCTAAAAGCTGCACTGGACTCAGAGACTTTTCTGTAAATCTTTTTACCACTTAGTAAATCTTGACCAGAATAGGGCAAGCTCTGTTGAGAGAGGACAAGTTATCTGAGTGTCGTCATGGTTTTCTGGCTGCAGAGACGGCGTTCTGAGCGATCCAGTGAGTCAGATTTTATCAGGACTGTTTTCAGACTAGAAATAGGGAAACCAACTAAGACTGAGTAAACATGTGGCACTGACTGAGAGCACCTATCGTTAAGAGAACAATGCCTTACCACATTATGCAATAGCTTATATCACATTTTTTTCTTCGTGATAAAGGTGAATGTAACAAATATTTGTGCTGCAGAAAGGCTAAAAGAAAACGTGCTTGGTTGAGAGGAAATGTTGTACCTGTTTGTCTCTCTATAAGAACCAGTGTGTCTTCAGTGGGGGCCCCCTCAAGAAGCTTCTCTGTTAGACGACTGCCGCTAGCTTTCAGCAACCTGGAAAAACAACGGAAAACACAGATCAGCATGACAAAAGGAAACTGTCTGTCGCAGTGAGGCGAAGTTTTTCAACTCACCAGCTAAAAGAGCAGTGCAGACTAGCCCAGAGGTTGGGGTGCTGGGTCAGTGAGGTTAGCGATCGAGCCGCATTCCCACTCCTCTGGTGTGGAAAAACTGCTGGGGAAAATACGTTGTTCATCCTCAGAGCTCTTTGGGGACAACCTCCTTGCTCAGTGTCAAACACCTGATGGGGAAAAGAGAAATATATGTGAGCAGAATGAGGATGACTTATCCTCATCCTCAAGATAAAAATAAAAAAATAAAAACCTGAGTCAACAATGCTCACTGTCTTTAAAAAAATAATACTAAAAGCATACAGCATTCACCTACCTTTAAAGCTGTACTTTGCAGACTATGTATCGTGAGCTTGAGGTGACGTAGCAGGAAAGGCCAGGAGTTGATAAGGTAGATCCTGTCCATGGCCACCAAAACTATACTGTACCATCGCTGAAAACCCCGGGCCAGGCTGTCTTTGATAAAGAAGGTGTGTGAGAACACAAACCCATGCTGCTCATCGCCAAAAAAAATGGGCCCCTCACGGCCAGGACACACCTGAAAACAAAGGACAAAAACAAGCCCAAACAAATTTAAAATGAGACTGTTTAAAAAATAAAGAAAACAGAGAATCAAATTAAGTATCATGATTAAAAGTCTAATATCTAGCAGTATATCACATTTGCCCTGTTCAGATTAGCTGTGGGGCAGTTAATGGTGTCAAGATATATGAAAGTTTGAAGAAGTTATGTTGTCATGTCAGTCCTACATTTTAAAGTGTTTTTAATTAGATGTCTCAGGAAGTGCTGGAGCGACCAGAGTTTTCTACAGCGCCATGGAGTATAAGTAACTCAGCACTGCCCCTTCCCCACTTCTTGCTGCATAATACTGGTCAGCTGGCTGAAAGAAGGCCAGCTTCTTTCAGCACTTTTTCTGAATATGTTTTGCAAGATAACTTCTACTTTAAAGTCTTTGTGGAGTGTTGTTAATTTACCTCACAGCTGAGACTGCGTACACAGGCCTGTCTGACCACACTGAAAAGCTGGGACTGCCTAGGATGCTGATGGCTCAAGAAGCGAATGCCTGTTTCATCGTCGATGCTCACAAAGCCAGGATGAGATGCAGGTAGAGATCGACAACCCTGTGAGGAGAGAAAAGGTGGCAATAAGTAACTTTGAAACAGACTACAGAACTTCATTCTCAAAACAACAGGCTTTCAGTCCACTCACCTCACACATCTCTCCTCTCTGTGTTGCTGAGCTATTGGCCCTCATAGTCAGACCTTCACCCTCTCGATCACCATCCCTGTCTCCTGGCAAGGGAGTCCCCATCTGAGACGAAGGGTCTGGGGATGGTGGGTGTAGCGCCTCGGTGCAGAACAGTGTTCGGGGGCCATGCAGCTCACAGAAATGACACAGAGCCACCAGCGCGTTCATCTGAGAGACATGTAATATATGTAGATAAACTATTGAATAAAAGTTTAGATGTCGTATAATTTACATCCTGTTGATCGCATTTGTTTCTAGCAGTACGTGACTTTACAATTCTACGCTTATTTTAATACGTTGTCATAACAACAAGCTAAACCGGAGAGTCTTACCTTCAGCGCAAAGATTGGTACGAACACACAGCTGCTTCACGTCTTCCGCTGCTTGTGTTTAAAAATATAAAGACGAAGAACGGTGAAAGTAAAAAATAAATTAATCTTCTAAAACATATTTAGCAAAAACTCATTATTGGACGAGAGTAAATGGATATTTGCACCACTTCCCCCGTTTCTGTTTACATGATGTTAGCAAACAGAGAAATCACATGACGTTGAGGCACGTCGCACGCGCTTGCCGTCGCACGCTGACTCATTGCTGACTGCTCCGACTGTTGACGTCATATCACAACTTTTAAATAACCGTTCAGACAAAACTTTATTTTTTATTAAAAAAAAATATTAAAAATATGCTCTTAATTTTTTATTTTATTTTTTGCTTTTGTTGGTAATATTAAGCTTTCATTTGTACATTTAAATTCGCTTCGCCTACAGATATTTTTCAATAAAACTGCATTAACCATAATTCCATTCGAGGATTACAGACTGGGTCACTTTGGTGAACTTCATTTGGCTTCTTTTCTTTTTCAAAGATAAAGAAAATTGCATGTATATATATTTTTTTATATATATATATTTTTACTACCATGCAAATCTAAGTTAGCCGGATGGCTAACTTGGAGTACCGGATGGCTAACCCGGGACTTCCGTGTTTGTGTTTCCAGGTGTCCAGGTAGCAGAGACAGTTGATTTTACGCCAGTCTGTCAGTGAATCTCTACAGTGATATTTCTTTGATTTGGAAATGGCGTCAGACGGTCCAGAAGTTTCCTCGGACTCTATGAAGAACCAGAAGATCGGAGGTGAGAGCCTCCTGACGCCCACCTCCCTGACTGACTCACCGGATCTGATTGCTGCTGTGACCGAAACTGACCGGAGCAATGATACCCGGAAAGATACGGGAGGTAAATGTCTCAGTGTTATTCTATTGCTTCATGTCTTTGCTCATCACTTTTACAGATAGATTTGTTCTATTTACTCTAAAAGCCACAGTTAGTAAAGCAGAATCCCAGTTCACCTTTTGCACCTCATTCTTAGCTCTAAACCTGTGTTTGTTTTTTGTTTTGTAAGGTTTATGGCATGTTTACATGCAATAACTAATGTTAAAAGTTCTTCTTAATAACACAAACACGCTTTTATGGAGTAGAGAGAATGTTAAGGGACATGATTCTGAAAAACTAAGATATGAGCTGTGCCTTCAGGTCCTCTCCTAAATGTAGATGTTTTCTTAACACACATATTTTTAATGGTTTAGTAACTAATGTTTAGTTGAAGAGTCCCAATTCAAAACAGTTGACATTAATGTCAATCAGCATAAACACAGCAAAATTAAATATTTTTCTTTTCTAACAATCAGTGTATATTATTTAGTTTGATGTATATCAATGTATTCTGTTTGGTATCTCATTTTGTTGTATTTAAAATGCCAACAATGAAAAATACAAACAGAAAAAAAAGTGTGTTAAGTATGTCACAAGAATGAAAATGCAAAACCACTTTAATATTTAGTCAGATGCATTCTGATAAATTACCCTAATAAAAAATACTAAGTATGAATAACTGAAGAACAAGTATTAAGATAGATTAGCACTGCATGTTGTTTAGAAAGCAAGTTTTCCCCAGTGTATTTTAAGCCTGGCGGGCCACCAGGCTTTTCTTGTGCCCCCACCAGGTTAAGCATTACTTATTTATTTAAGTCTTTAAGTTTCTTAAGATTTTATAGTTGGTGTTAAGGTGTTAATCTTCCAGTCTTTCAATAACACATAATTATCAAGTGATATTTTAAAATTTCCTGTTAACTTTAAACATTTTTTAACTCAAAAACATGTCGGGCTGCTGGATGAATGACTGCCCTAGCGCTCAACCACCAGGCTTAATAAGTTTTTTGGGAGGAACCTTGGAAAGCAAAGAGGAAGTACAATGGTCATGTTTTTAAGAAAAAAATGCCAAACATCAGACTGAAGCCAGAAGCAGCTATTCAGGCGGAAATAATATCATTTTTTTTCTAGTTTATTCAGTATCTTGATACACTATGTTCTACGTTATCAATCAACCGAAAGCACAGACGTAAAATAAACACTTTTTATTTGTTCATTGAATGTCATTTCAGTATCAAAAGACTTGCCAACGTTATCGCATATGTCCCTAATATCATGGAGCCTAATATACATTATATATATTTTTAGTATACCAGCAGTACATGATCAGTAACCTAAATCTGTTTTTTACATTCAGATACATTCAGTACAGTATGTTCTTCCCTAACAAATACAAAACATAACTCATATAAGTTCCAGGACCTGCAAACGGGAGCGTTCAGTCATGTACATTTGTGGAAAAACAAATGTAAGAACCGATGATGAATCAATGTGTTGCCTGTAACTTAAACACATTTTATCAGTGTCGCATTTGAACAACTATTTTGATTAATTTCTAATGAATAGAGGTCGGACTAAGGGTAGAAATAACAGTGAAAAGTGTGATTCACCTTTGAACCAAACTGACTTATGGACTCTACACTTCCATTAAATGACTGGATGATGAGCATCCAGTCCTTCAAAACCACAAAATGGCGAGAAAATTTGGCAATATGTCTCAGAACCCATTTAAATAACGCAGGACATTGTTTGCTGAGGACTTGAATTGCCCCCTTATCTAGTAAGATTTTCTTCTCTCTTTAGCTTCATTTTGAAAAAAAAGTTTAATTAAATTTTGAGTCTTCAGATAAAATGCTTCATTTAACTTCACCTAATCTGAGTCCCACATTGCCCTCTTAATGGAGATTTAATTAGAAAAAACTGATTTCAATTTATCTTTATGCTTGCACACATATTGATAAGAGATATTTTATGAAAAAATCAGTTTATTACTGCGTTTGACTGGATTTTGTGATTTTAAATCACAAAGGATTAGAGCTTTAATATTTAGTCAGATGCATGAAATTTTGTTTGTTGTTTTTTATTATTCATAGTTTTAGTTCCCCTTTTACGTTTCGCTTCATGAACTAACTTCTTTGTAGAAACAGCATGTTTTACCAGAATTGTTGTCTTTTTATGCAGAAAACTGTGCTATCAGAATCATAATAGAGGTATTTGATAATAAACAGTTTTTGAGTCTTTTTGATGAAAATTAATTGATTATATTTTTAAATTAGGAGTGCACCGATTGCAGTTTTCTGGCCGATCGGTGATTACCAGTCTTTTAAAATCCTGACCTGCCGATGCCGATTTTTCTTGCTAAATATTGCAAGAAAGTTGCTGAGTTAATAACAGTGGGGTGATTATTATTGAGTGCAAATGTGCAGAGATGACCTGGTGGGCCGGTCTACCAGTCAAACCTTGATCACTGGAGGAAAAAGAGGACAGTGGTTGATTTTTAGACCTTTGCTGATCAAGCATGTATCGGCTGATCACTGATCTCTCAAAATTAAGGAAATCGGCACTGATAAATCAGCTGGCTAATAAATCGGTGCAGTGCACCCTTATTTTTAAATACGACTTTAAAATATTGCTTTGAGATGTTTCCTTTCCACTTATAGCAGCAACTAAGGCAGTTATGGAAACAAACCCTTCAAGGTTTCTTGCGCTCTCCCAGAGCAGTTTCAGTTCTGGTAAGCTATATTATCATGTGTCTCTAGACCCTCACACACTGACAGAGGCAGCTGAATTCATGGAGTAGTGTGGTGTAAGTTTCTGACTTCCTGACAGAATGTTCTGCTGGATCAGTTCCTGGCTTCAGCAAATGACTCAAAACTCAAGACTCTCACTCCCAGTGGAGGAGAGAGATTTCACTGTCTGCTTCAACATCTGCATCTATCACTTTTAATCCAAGTAAAACTTCTAAGGAACAGAAAAAAAAATGCACTTCCTGTAAGTTATCGCGCCTGGATTCGGGTCAGGTGGTTTTGTGCCAGCTGGAGTCATCTCAGTTCTCACAAGAAAGACATTACAGCTATAGTTTAGGTATTTGGGCTGAGTTACATTCAGTTCTGTCCAAAAATAGAAAAACAGGAAGTGTGGTGTGAACTCTTGGATGACTTTTCAGTCATCTGGATTAAATCATTACCACCTGTTACAGGGTTTGTAGTGTTACTGTGTTGGAGGGAAAATATAATATCCGGAGTTGTGCTTTTTATTGTGAACATTAGACTAACAAATAATTAATGATCAGTAGTGGTGGTTTTTAACATGTCTGCACTTACAGTTTGCCTGCCAACATACATTCATCTTCATTGTGTTCATACAAAAACAAAGTCGGTCAGTGTGTTTACGTAAGAAGCCACAGAAACACCAGACATGACTGCATGTGTTGTTGAGCAGATTTCTCTTTCTGTTGATGACATATTAAAGACAACATTCCTTAGACTTTCATTCAGATTTTACTACACGTCTTCATTCTGTCTTCATTATTGTTGTTCTAATTTGTAGAGTCTTCAGAGCAGAACAAGGATGGATTAAAAGTGTGCCAGTTTTTCCAGAGGGGAAAGTGTCACTTCGGAGGAAGATGTCGTTTATCACACAGGTTTGCTCAAATCCACTTGCCTCTCATAAGTAACAAGAAGGAGGTCTCTTACTCTCTGTTTGCACTTTTTCACTATGTCATAGTATATAGGTTTGCTGTTTATATTGGTTCAGTTAGAGATTCAGAGACCAGTCAGCTGGTTACTGGATTCAGATGATTTCCAGCGTAATCAGCTCTGGCCGAACTCAAACAAATAAATTATTCCCAACATTAAACACACCATATAAGAACCACAGTCTGGGAAAAGAGAAAAGAGGGAGTCAGAGTCTTGAGTTTTGAGTCAGCTATTTTCAATGTCCGCAGTGATTTAAGTCAGGAAGGAAAACTATGTAAGAAACTATTTAACATGAAATGTGTCCAAACATGTGTGCCGTTCTTTCAGGCTGTGAGGAAGGAACAGAGCAAATCTTTAACAACAAGGCTAAAAGTATTACCGAAAAGTTTAACTGGGTTTAGAAATGTTGGCAGTCTTTTGGAAATGACAGAATAATGATAAAAATCTTCATTCTCTGTTTACACACAATGAGACACTTTGCTTCTGCTAAAAACGCTAATCTAATATGAAATGCTAAAGTTTTGCAGTTTTGCAGCAGCTGATCTCTCCTGATCTAAAAGAATATAAATGAGAAGAAGAAAGGCTACAAAAAACACTAAAATGATGTCGTCTTATGTTTTAAGCGAGGGAGAAAAGTAATTAATTAAAATGGTAACCAGCAGGTCAGAAAGAAGGAAATCACATCTTTTCTTACCCTCCAGCACAGAGGAAGAAGAAGAAAAGGCTCGATGTAATTTTCTGTTTTGTGAATGAGTAGACCGTTCAAACAAACTTATTTTCCTTTTAGATTAATACATTTTTTTTTTTTTACTATTTCCAGTTTTATTTTGTTCTCATTTTTAAGGCGAAAATCCCTGTGAACTCAGTGTTCCTGTGCATTTTCCTGTTATTTTCCCTTCTAGTTTATTTCGTATGTTTTTATGTTGGATTTGATTGGGAAATTTTGATATTAATCTGCATTTAGATGCAAATAATTCATGACGTATTATGTATTCTTCTTATTATTATTACTAATTGTGGATCTTTAGATTTTTCTTTAATTTCATGTAAGCTTTTGCATCCTAAGTAACATCTGTTTCAGATTAAGGTAGGGCTCCCGTCTTTTTAACTTGTCATGATTTGTGACCATATTTTTACCTTCCCCCCCTCCTCTATTGCTCTCATTTATTTCAGTGACCCATCACCACATGAGTCAGCGGTTCTGTCCCCTGACATGGATGACAAACAGGATGAAGAAAAGATGGAAAAGCACAAGAAGAAAAAAGGCGCTGTGAGCAAAGTGGCGAAGCCGAAAGACGAGGGGACAGGTCAGTCTTTATTTATTCATCTGGTTGTTTCACGATTAATCTGAAGAGACTTTTATGTGTTTATCTCTCTCTTTGTTCTCTTTCTGAATGGAAACGATTGAATTCTCTCCAGCAGATGTGAACAAAAAGCCTCGCATGCGCACGGCAGATGAGGTTATCTCTCGTATCTTGTGGGACACATCAGTGGACGCTTCAGAGTTTGTGGTGGGCTACGTGGATCGCTTCCTCGGCGTGCTGGAGCGCCCTTTCTGTGACTTCAACTGGGACACCAACCCGTGTGACTGCGACTACACCACAGAGCTGGCTCTGCCCAGACACCGGATCCAGTACTTCGCCTACAGAGGGCACCGCGTCTGGGACCGCCACAGCAGAACTGACAGGGTCTTTGGCTCCACCGGTCAATCTCTGGCTCCACCGTTTGGAAAGGAGGAGGAAGTAAAGAGTGAGACAGATGATTTCAAACATTTCCATTAATTATCATCATTTTCCTCTTGCAGAGTTTGAAAACACATTTCATAATAAAATATTACATCAGGCCAACAGAAGATTATATTACATTACAGAAATGTGAGCTTAATTTAATATGTGCTTAAAGGTTGTTATTTTCAAAAGCTGCTTTTAATCTTACAAACAGGCTTTGTTGGAGTCCGCATTCTGATTTACTGAAAGATTTGATTAAGTTGTTCACAGATTCAATCAGACTGAGCTTAAACTATTCTGGAAAGAAGCATTACAGGTAGAAAACTGCTTTAGAAATACACTAACACTTGCAGTATAAGTGGTTTTACAAAGTATTCACTCTGAATACAAATACCTACCACAACGTTTAGATTTTTTTTTTCCTGTAAAACATTTACAGAATTGTATTATACACAGTTATGCACTGCTTTGTATATATGTAGTTGTAACACAGCAAAATGAGGAAAAGCTCAAGTGGTACGAATACTCCTGTACATCTGTACAATTTCTCAAACTAAAAATTATCCTTTGTTTCAGATGGAAGCAGAGTAAAGGATCCAGAGCAGCAACAAGACGGTGGTTGTGAAACAACAGAGGAGCAGACAGGTGCTGTGGGTGGTCGGGAGGAAGACTGCGCTCGTACCAAAAACAGACATGAGGAGGAAGAGGAGCTGAATGAGATGAATCACACCTTTGCCCCCACACATTGTGGAGGAAACACTTCTCAGGAACAGCAGGACCCTCGTGGATTATGTGTTGAAGAGGAGGTTGCAAATAGGTCTGGTGTTTATTCTTGCTGCAGGTTTTATCTTTAACTCATTGCAGACAAAATGCCCTGTGTGGGGAAAAACCCCCCCACATTTGAATAAAATGTGGGTTTTAAATACATCAGTTTGGATAAAATGCTCAGAAGTGCACAACGCAAAGCCTTTTTGAGGATTCATATCAGAGCCTTCAGGATTGAATGAGTTATAGATGCTGTTTTAAAGGGGACCTATTCAGCAAAATTCACATTTTCTACTTCCATTTATGTCCCAACTGGAAGAGTAAAGGTACTTACAAAACGCTTAAAAAAATAACACAGAGCCATTTTTGGCAGTAACTTTATATTTTTTTGGTGTCTGAAAAATGAGCCGTTTCAAAAACCTTCTGAATGTGGCGTCACAGATCAGCAGGCTCCGCTCCTCACCTGGCATCCCCCAACAAAGCTCAGCCCATTACCTAGCAACTCCAGTGAAGCCCACTCTGTTATCTAGCAACCCAAGATGAGCTCCAGCACATTTGGTCAGCTACCTTTACCGCTGTATGTGCTGTACAATGGCTGCTGGAAAAGACAAGTGTTTTCTTGTTGACTTACCATCCAGAAACCTCTTGCTGCTTTCTTGTTGGTTGTGCAGGAGGCTCCACTTCTGCTTTTTAAAGATGTACGATTGTAAAATTGTGCAACTGTTTGCAGCCATTTTTCACGTCCAAGAGTAAATGTAGAGTTGGGGGCGTAACCAGCAGTAAATTTGGTTTTAAAGTGACAAGACGCCTTAAAACTGTTCATTCTGAAAGGAGCTAAAATATTCAGAACTGAGCAGACTAATATCTCATTATCTAAGAATGATTTTTTATTTTGTTTTGCAAACTATATAGACTGATATAGTCACAAACTTTCCTGAAGCAGGTGAATGAATCATTAGATTTCAGACAATGTTATTGTTTTGTTTTAATAAAGTAAGTCATTTTTATTCTGCCATATGTATTTATTTTCCTTTCCTGGTTCCTATTTAGACTCCAATCATCAACTGAGAAAAATTCCTCATGTCAAGAAAATGACCAGGATGTAAGTGAGGACGGAGAGGAGAAGCATTTTGAAGACTGGGAGGAGACCTTGGACGGTCATGAAGACACACAGGTGTGGACGGAAAGCCTTTGTCTGACGGACCCCGTCGTCGTTAGTTTTTATTTATCTCCACTTTGATGCTCCTCCTTAGGATCCAGCACCGAAGCAGGCAGAAGAGAAATGTGGCGGGCGTCCTCCTAAGAAAAAACCCACTCACTTCATCACCTTCCGGGCCAACACGCCTATGATCCTGTCCTGCTTCCAGCAGCTGCAGGAGGAGCTCACCGCTCTCCTCCCCTCCTCTGCTCCTCACTGGCAGGCCGCCTCCAAGCTGCACGTCACCCTGTGCCTCCTGGTGCTGCGCGGCCCGGCCGAGGTGGTGGCCGCCGCGGAGATCCTCCGCCGGTTCGCCCAGCTGGACCGCAACCCGCCCGTGGCCGTGACCTTCCCGGTGAAGCTGAAGCACTTCAACGGCAAGGTGCTGTACCTGAGCCCCCAGCCTCAGCTGCTCCTCCACCAGCTGAACTCCGGCCTGCAGGAGGCCTACAGGAAGGAGGGCTGGCTGCACCGGAGCTCCTACAACCCGCGGTACCACCTCACGCTGGCTAAGGTAGACGACGCAGAGGGGGAAAGGATTTTTGACGGCGTGTGGTACCTGAAGGTGGGGAAGGGGTTGAATTTTGGCCGGCAGCCAGTCAACACCTTACACCTTTGTACCGTTAGGGGCGCCGAGGTGAACGGTTTTTATGACATCATCTGCACCGTAGCTCTTCGATAATGAAGAAGTATCTCTCATCACCTGCACTATTCTACATACAGCTTTTAAATAGTGCTGTGAATCACTAAACAGCACATGACTTGGTGCAATAGGATATGTTTACTTCTTATATTTATTACTTCAGTAAAACTGAATGTTTTTGGTATTTATCGAAGCATTAAGTCATAAATTCAAAGGGATGCAGTTCTCTCACATAGATTATGCTTTACTATTTTTCATATTTGCCTTAATTTTACACACTTTGATATATTCTGATCCCCTTCATTTAGTGACCCAGCAGTGTCCCTTGGACATAAGAAATACTTTTGTAAAGACTGCCATAAGAATTTTATATATCAGTGTTTTCGTATTCATTAATGTGAGTCCTCACCATACAGAACCGATTTCTGTTGTGTTGAACGTATTTCAATGCAACATATTGGGAAAATAAATAAAACCAAATCAAACTGTAATGATGGTATAAAACCACAGATTGTTTTATCTAGTTTCAAGGCATGAAAATTACCCCCAAAACATGAAACCTGGTCATTTTTTCTTTTACAATTTGCATGAGCACATTCAATAATGCACAAAAATAAAATAAGTTTATTGGTAGTTTAAGTTTAATTAGTCACAAAAGCTAAATTACTGAAGCAAATGCAGCTCATCTGAACTTTCTGTAAGCCTTTTGTTTACAGAAATGCACAGAAGCATTTGAATTATAGCAGAAATTAATTGTTAAAAGATCTATTTGTTTTCTTAGGATAAAACAGTCGTTCAAAGTTTCAAGTTGCTAGAAATTCCCATCTGACTTTAAGGATGAAGCTGCTGGGATTAGACAATCGAGCATAAAGAAGAATTTACTTGAAATAATAATAGTAATACTTCATTTATATTGTGTGAGAGTTCGTTTTTAGCTGTATGACTGGCTTTTTATCAGATTTTCTATCAGATTTTTACAGAATTGCATTGATTAAAGCTGATTAGATCAATAAAATCTAAAAACTCCAGAAAACAATCAGTAGACGATAATTTATCTACATAATCTGGGCTCCGTCTAAATTGAAATGAGCCGTTTATTTCATCTGACATTTTCTGAAGTTGATGGATCTAATTTCCTACTGGTTTGAACTTTGGCCTGTTTTTTTTTTTACATTTTGTCATCATTCATAATATTTGTACTGTGTTTTTTTTTAAACACTTGTGATAAATAAATGGTTGTTAAAGGTGCAGAAACTTTTATCGTCTCGATATTGTAAAGCTGTAAGGGTTTATTAGGCTCATTCTCTGCTGCCTCTCATGATTAATTCGATCATGAATATTGAATGTACTGTGTTTCACAAGAGCGATCACTCTGTATTCTCCTACCAATTATTGCGACTGCTAGTTTGCTTTTACAATTAAACTATAAGCAGATGATTTAAAGAGCTGTGAGTGGTGATTTTTCTCTCGTCGCTGATGTGACGGATGCTCGCTCCCTAAGCCGAGGATAATGAATCTGTTTGTTTTCTTCCCCGTTTTCCTTCCAGATGCATACCCACATATACACTATCCAAAAGCTGAGTGAGTGTGTGAGTATGCTCCCTGCTTCTCTGCTGTTTGCTCCCTTTGCTTGCATTATCTCCCCTCCCCCACTCCCTCTCAGTGACACAGAAAAGCCGACGCCCCCTCCCTCTCCTCTCCTCTCCTCTCTCGTGCCTCTGCCCCCTTTTCTCCAGTGAAAGGCAAACACTTTTTATTGCTGCAGTTCACCTCCATGTCTTTCCTGCATTCTTCTCGCTCCAGTCCCTGAGAGGACATCTCTCTGAGCGTGCTCTCATCACATCAGTCACGTCGCTACACGTCCTCCGCCGCCTCCCCCGTCTCTAAATCGGTGTTGATGCTGTCCTGCAGCCTCCACTGGAAACTGCCTTCGCCTACAAATCCACTGCATGCTGCTTTGCCCCTTTCTGTTCATTGTTACTTGCTCCATCTCTCTCACCCTCCCTCCCCTTTTCTCTCAGCATCCCTCCATGGGAACCCGCATTTTTATTCTCCTCAGGTTTTCCTGTTCTCTGCATCCCTCGCCCCCTCCTCTTCCTCATCCCCAAATTCATCTCTGTGTGCCTCTTCGTGATTCTCCCTCTGCTTTTACCCCTTCAGCTTTCACATAAGCACATTTTTAATGTAAGATGTGAGTGGTGTGCTGAAGCTTCCACAATCATTTTCCAGTCAGTACATTTTTACAGTTCGCCTTGGTAACCTGGACTGGATTCACTCTGGTGGTCTGGGCAGAGATTGGCTGGTCGGATGGGCGAGCTTTTATATGTTCAGTGGGGGTTGGCGGTGGAAAGGGAGCGAGTGAGGGGTTAGACCCCACTAAGCCGCGTTAACAGATTAATTATCTCGGAGCAACATTGTGTCAGGGCAGCGTTTTGAACTCGCTTGGGCGTTCAGCAACGAAGGGCTACAATGCAACGATAAAGAGTCCCTCAGGGGTGTCTCCTCAATCCTAATCCCTCCCTCTCTCTCTCTTTCTCTCGTTCGCTAACCCCTGCTCGCCGAGAGTTCCTCGCCCATCCATCAACACAAGCACCTCTCCACTGTCACCAGACAACCACACAGATATTGATCATTTAATATTTCAGCAGCTGTTACAGTTACCACCCTCGTTTCTCATCCCGTCTTCACGTTGGCATGTCTCTGAGCCGTTTCTTTGAGGATGATCAGTTTTCAAGAGCGTCCAGCGTTGACGACAGGCACTATAGCTCTCTGAGTGGGTAAATATTTCACGGACACCGGCAACGAGAGAGAAGACAGAAGGAGACAGAAATCTCCCAGCAGCTGACTGAGGTAAGAAACCGATCCCCCTCTTGTCGCCATGTTTTAATTGCTGCTGTTGCTGTGGGGATTAATCATCACTGGGATGAAACATTAGACGATGTAGATATGCATCTCGCACAGAAAAAGCAATGCGGTTTTGTTGCACTTTTTTTTTTTTTTTTTTTGGCTAATTGATCAGTCTTTCTGGGACCATTTTCCTTTTCAGTTGTGGGTGGTTCATAAATCTAATAGAAGCAGCCACTAATTGACATTTACAGAAGATCCAGTTTTGCTGATAACGCTGGGCATGGTTTGATTGCGTCCTGTTTTTTTTTTTCTACAAATTGAGGTTTGCCATAAGTCATTTGATTTTGGTCAATTAGGGAGGACACATTTTGTACCCTATCCCTTTCAACTTCACGTCCTGCTGGACACTTCCCCTACGGCTCTGGTCAGCGGCACTTTAAGGGGTTTCACGTTTTGGATTTAAAGCTTTTTACATGACGTCTCATAAATGAAGCTGTGAGACAAACTGCTGGGGAATGTAATCGAAACTGATTTCACGAGGCAGAATGAAACATGCATCACCTCGGCTGCAGATGCGCGTTATTTATATCGTCTGATTCAGTGCGTCGGTCTTGGTGAAGGAGGTGGGGGAAAAAGGTGCCAATGATTTTTTTCATGCACTAAAGATGATTCTAAGTTCAGATGACAGGCAAAGCTTCAGCCCCGTCCCCATTAGCTGCCTCACAAAATGGCCCTTTTTCTTTACATCATGGAGTCTCAGTATGCAAAGAGTTGTGTGTGAGCTTCAAGCACAAACAGATTATATTATTTTTTTTTAAATCCTTCAAGCTCCTCCTGAGGTTGGAACCAGTGGGTTTATTCCATCTCTCTGCTGGTGTTTCCCATTGTTGTCCCCTTTGACTCACTTCATTTATTTGTCTACAGTTATGCAACAGTAACAGGCATTATAAGAAGAAGCTGGCGAGAGATATCACGTCTCCTTGAGGTTTCCTATCTGTGACAGCTGCTGAGTGAACCCCCTGCTCCACGACGCGTTAAATATCCTCCATTCTTTTTTAGGTTTGGAGGAGAATCTCAACCTTGACTTTCACGTGAAGTGTCATAAATCTTCAACTCTTCAGTCACGGTAATGTGCGAAAGAAGATGGAGGCTAAAGAATTGTTTTATGAACTTCCTGAAGATCTTAATTTAAGGATCTACTTTGTGTTGCATCTTCTTGTTCTTACATTAAAATGCGCAGCGTTGCATTTTTTCCTCAACAGATGAAGGTATTTTTCTTTCATTTTTGCATTCAGTCGTTCATTTTTCTTTTGGATTTTTGTTGTAAAAATAAGCTTCTACTAAAAATAAACACAAAACTCCACCTCAGATGAAAGATTTATTTTACATTTATTACATTTAATGACTTCTTCGCACCGCATACGTACTGGTATATTTATTGCAAATTCTTGTTTGTAATAAGAACACATAAGATCAAGCAGCACACTTTCACAGTTATCAAACATTAGCAGCACTATTGAGGTCATAAAACAATAAAAACAAGGCTGAGGTTACAGGGTAGGATAAATATTTTAGCTGAAATGTGTGCAGGTATCAGACAGTACCTTCTTTAGAATATCTCTAAAAGTTTGTATTGATATAAAGATGCTCATCTTTAATATTTATGAGATGCAGTTTCACAATTAGATCCAAGAAGATTGGGACATGTCATGATCTTCCACTAAAGGAAGGCAAACAACCAAATGCAAAAAAAAAAAAAAAAAAAAAAAAAAAAAAAGACAGAAATAAACAGTTCTGGTTGGATGATAATTCAGCACCACTGACATGAAGACTTGAATGAAATTCAGGAAAAGCCTCCAGATCTCATCAAATTTATCATATTTGCTGTTTTTATTGGAATTAATCTTTTCAGCACTGAGGAAGAAAAAAACAAAAAGTAAATGTTCACATTCTAGGCTTCATTCAGGGTGTGAAAAACCTTCTAAGTATGTCATGAAGCAGAAAATGTCCAAAGCAAATGGATTGGTTGCTTTTTCACAGCCACACCTGTTACTGCAGGAATCCAAACATTTGTACCACTTGGTTGGGGGTTAGCCCCAGTCTGAACAGGTGAGCAACTTTAAATTACCTTCAGGAGTTGTCAGTCCAGCACGCTGGATTTACAAAGAAAAGCACTAAATTTAAAACGTCTAAAACCGAGAGGTTCATGTCTTAATCCCACAGATTCTTTTGTCAAAAGGCTGGAGTTGTTCAGCACGTCTTGGCTGCAGACAGAGTTTTGGGAAGAGTCTGCTTTGTGGACAGCTACTCACATGATGTTCTTTGGTTCTGTCTGAAAATCAATCAGTTTAAAGTGGATTACACTGGCTCAATGACAAACATGAAAATGGACTCTGAGGTAAGATAAGTGGATCAATAACGCGAGTCTTTAAAAGTCAGAAACTGTGAGAACAGAAGTGCTTTAGGGAGGGTTTGATCACATCAATAACTGGTCTGTAGGTTTATCAATGGAAAAGGACTCTAGCACAACTCCAGCACAGTCAGTGGTCACTTTAATAGGTACATCTCGGTACTACTGCGTTAATTATTCACAGCTCAGATTCAGCGAGGTGAGGGAAACGTTCCTCATGAGATTTTAATTCATGTTGACACGACGGCGTCACAGTGGCTTCATATTCGACAAATGCAGATCCATGAATCCAGTGTGGCCAACTGGATCCAGATCTGTTGAATGTGCTGCAGAGTTGGGAAGTAACTAGTTGCATTTACTTGAGTAACTTTTTAACTGTACATTTTACTTTGAGTAATATTATTATGAAGTGTCTCTACTCTTACTTGAGTAAAATTTCTGGATACTCTACCCATTGTGAGTAACTTCACTGAATGATGATAAAACAAAAAACGATACGGACACACCTTCAGCTGAAGTTAAAGTGAGGCTTCTTGTTTGTTTTTTCTTATCTGTTGAGAGTGCTGTGCTATTTGGGACTGAAAGGACTTTACCCCATTCTGGCATATTGCATTGCGGACTGGTTTATTTTTTTTTTTTATTTTTATTTTTTTAAAAGAGCTGCTTGAATCTATTATCCTTCAATCACCTTATATATCTGATTTTTATGTATTTATTTTAGTCTTTAAAATACCAGAATTTGGACACAGCTTTATATTTTGTGCGATGACATCATTTTTATTAAATCA